GCGCATGAACATCTTGAGTTGATCTAAATAGTGTGATCGTGTGTTTACTTTTATTTAATATTGCATGAATGTAGATGCTGGTTTTGAAGTAGTAGATATTGTCTACTGAGAGAAAACCTCTTGGAGAGTAAAGTTCAGTGGTTAGAGTTAGGCGAGGTAGGGAGTAGATATTTTTTATGGCCCTGTTTTGTAAAATTTTCAAGGGATTCAATATTCCACTTCCAGTAGAGCCCCATATTGAAGCTAGATATTGTATTCTAGAATAGATATGGGAAAAGTATAGTAGCTTGCAGTGAGATACTGAGAAGTACTGCTTTATTTTGTATAATACTCCTATAAACGGTGAGATTTTTTTTCTTAGTGCTAAGACATGTGCATTGAATGATAGTGTTTCATCTATCAGAAGACCAAGATATTTTACTGTGTGATTATACATCAACTGAGAATTGCCAAAATCGATTGGGTTGACTTCCTTGCTTCGTGACTTATTAATATAGATATAACTAGATTTATCAATGTTGAGGGTGAGCTTGTGAGAGTTCAGCATAATTATTTTGAATAGCTGCTAGATCATTTGCAATTGAGAGATGAATAGATTCTTTACTTTTTGAATGATATACTAATGTGGTATCGTCAGCATACAGCTTCACTGTTCCTTCAAGATGTAGTTTACTGAAAGCGTTGATATATATGAGAAATAAGGTAGGGCCAAGAATGGAACCTTGTGGGACACCACAACAAATTGATCGTGTGTTACTACGAAAATTATCGACTGTCACAAATTGCTCCCTACCTGATAAGTAATTACAGAACCAATCCAAAGCCTTTCCTCTAACCCCAAGGTTTTCTAGTTTAGTCAACAGTATAGGGTGATCAACAGTATCAAATGCCTTTCGTAGGTCAAGCGACACCATGGCACACACATAGCCTTCATCAATCTTCATTTGGATATCTGATATTAAGTCAATTGCCGCAATTTCTGTGTCACTTGACTTACGAAAGCCATATTGGCCTTCATATAAAAAGTTCTTTTGGTCCAGGAATTTTGTTAGGCGTTTGTTCATGCAGGATTCCAGTAATCTAGTGAACACTGTTAATACTGTGATAGGTCTATAGTTTGAAGGTTGTTCAGGGTCACCATTCTTGAAGATTGCACTCACTTTCCCCATTTTCAAATCTGTTGGTAGATAAAGAAATAATGGAGCATTCTTCCTTGAAGTGTTTAATATGTTTCACTGTGATATTGTCGAAGCCACTTGCTTTATTTGGGTCAAGATTATTTATAATGTCTTTGATTTCCTCAGGTGTAGTGGGGTAGAGAAAGATGGATTCTGCCCAGTTATGTTCTTCTGGTATGAATGGGGTTGGAGGTAGTGCATTTGAGAGCTCAGGACCTACATTGATGAAAAAGTCATTGAGTATATTTGCAATCTCTCTGGGATCTGATGAAGTGTCATGGCCCTGCTTCAAAGTTGAGATACTAGGGTTTTTGTCTTTATTTTTATTAAACAGTGCTGTGTTCAGAACTGCCCACGTTCTTTTTGTGTCGTTACCAGCTTGTTGAATTTGTTGGTAGAAGTGAGATTTTTTTAGTTTGATGACTTCTCTGGTAACTTGTTTTTTATGATGTATGTACTGATTGTGGTGTAGGACACTATTTGGGTACTTGCAGGTTTGTTTATAACATTTATCCCTCTTGTTCATCATCTCCAATATCTTAGCATTCATCCATGGCGCATTGCCTATCTTTTTGTTCTTGAAAACCTTCACAGAGGAACTATCTTGAAAGGCAGTTTTGAGTTCATCATATAGTTGTTGAGTGTCTTGATATCCATGTATCTTGCTTATGATATCATTCAGTCTAAGAAGAACCTGATCATGGTCTAGCTCATTTATCACATGATACTTGCAAGTGTTTTTTTGTGTTTTTTTATTCACCCCCTTCAGGCTTATAAGTTGAAGTCTATGGTCACTGAGGCTGCACTCTATTACAGAAGTGCACTGTATGATACTGGAGTTGTTTGACAGAGCATGGTCAATAAGATTAGCTGACTCTGATGTGACACGAGTAGGTATTGAGTTATTTAAGAGGTGATATCCATTCATTGCATAGATATCCACTAGTGATGTAGCTATCACACTATCTTTAACCCTACGGAAGTGGCGCCCTATTTGTTGAAACGAAAGGTGGCGCCGGGTCTCACAAACTTTTCGAAGAAGTGAAAATTCCAAATATTTTGGCTGATGAATAAAGATGAGAGATGATTCAAAATAAGCTTTTTATTGTGCAACGGAACGTATAACAACGTTGTATATATTCATTCATCAAAATCGATAGTTCACATATATTATGATGCAATCTCACTTGTTTCCTCTCGTAACTCATTTCTAGAAATTTCAACAGTGAAAACCAACTGATAATCTTTCATGATAAGAAATAACTCACGCAATTGATAACAAATGCCGTCCACTATCACTAACAGAAAAATATCATCAAAGGTGGCGCCTAGTCTATCAGACTTTTTGTCCAATATATCCCTTGGAACGACACATACACATCCCCAACCTTACGTAGAGATACTAGTGACCAAAATATGAAGGTACCTAGGAATACGAAGATTTGACTTTGATCGTCGACAATTGAAGAATGATAATAGATGCGTCGGGTCTCTCAGACTTGGCGCCACTTCTGGAGGGTTAAGAATGTTAATGTTAAAGTCTCCAATAAGAATTGTTGAACCAGAGATTTCACTGAGTTTTTCATCAAGCACAGTCAGAAAGTCGTCATTGTTAAAGTTTGGAGGTTTATAAACAACACTTATGTTTAGTTTGAGAGGTCACATAGATGAATAGTTTGAATTGTGACATCCAAGTTCAATGTATTAACAGTTTTTGTAGTTATAGTATCATCAATATAGATGCAGGAACCACCACCTCTTTTTTCTCTACTTAGGTATAGGGCTTTGTAGTTTGGAATATAATAAAACTCTTCTTCTTCGACTCCCAACCAGGTTTCTGTGATAGCTATGACATGTATTTTATTTTTAAAGGAATGTGTTACAATTTCAATCTCTTCTAGTTTGTTTCTTATTGATCTACCATTCATATATAGAATGTTTACATTATCTTTAGATATTAGATTATAATAGTTATCATTGTAGTCTTTTATACAGCCAACGTAATTTACTTCAGGTACTATATGTTATTCATCTGGGCTAGTAGCAGTTTATAAGAATATTACTGGGAACTTTGCACATGTTTACTCTTCAAGTTTGAGTACATCCTCTATGAATCTTATCCGTATGGCTCTGTCTACCTCTGATTTCCGGACATAAACTACTCCATCCTTCATCCAAACATATTTATAGTTTCTTTGTTTCAGTTTCTTTGCCTGACTGAATAGATACCTTGTTTCAGGAGTCAGAGCCTCATTGAGGTACACAATTTTTTTTTCACCTGATATGCCAATTTTATTTGTGTCAAGAAATTCTTTTTTTCTAATATTTTCTTTACATTGGGTAAGTAGTTTTTCTCTAGTTATAGCATTGCGAAAGTCTACTGTCATACTGTTGATTTCTCCGGTTTTTATATAAGTTTTCCTCACATTTAGTATATCAGTTTCTTGCAATGGAATCTTCATCAGGGCTCCAATTTTTAGAATAGTTTGTTTATGGTCTGGTGCTGGGGGAATCCCACTAATTTCCATTGAGTTTTTGAGTTTTCTTTGTTCCTCTTGGTTCAACTTGGTTTTGATGTAATGTAAGTCTTTTTCCATCTCTGTTTGTTTTTCCTTCAGTTTTGTGTTTTCTTTTTTCAGTGTTTTGTTTTCTCCTTGAACTTTTTTAATTTCTTTGGTTAGGTCTTCCATTATTTTCCCATTGAATTTGAGAGATTCTTCTAAGCTGTCGAATTTATGAATGAAAAAGTTCTTGAGGTCGCTGATGGATTGAGCAACATCGCTGGGTTTGGATTCCGGATTGTCTGGCTGGGTCGGGTATCGCACTTTTCGAGATTTTGAACTTGGCGCCAAGATTGTACTCTCCTCGTCTTCCCCTTCCTCACTTGAGCTAACCTCTTTTGCATTGCATTTTTCACAAAACCATTCTGCCTTTGGATCACCATCTACCATTGCTTTAAATAGTTTTTCGGGTACTTGGACACATTTTTTATGGAACCATCGACTGCACGTGCCACTGCATCCAACAGTCCAATGGTTTTTAGTGATTTTTTGACAACACTTTGCACATACATGTTTATCGACCATCTTCTTCTTCTTCGACTTTATTAATTCATGTCCAATATTTGTGAAATTGCGACGAAATCGTAGATTTATGTTTTGAAATGTTAACCTGTATTTTATTGCCCAAAAAGAACTGATGACTTGAACATTATACAGGAAAAAACCAAATTAACCATTTCACGCTCAACTTCTTGAGGCGCTGGTGATTAAACTTAGCTAAATTCAAAACACTTGTATCTATTAGGATAGGCATATTCTGTAAGCTCACTGTATATTGATTACGTTATACAAGGTGTCCCAGAACAACGTACCATAAATTCCACAGGGTGTACTATCCCACTAAGCAAAGTTGGAAGTTATGTTGATGCAATGTTAAAATATTGTGAAAGTGAAGTTTGATAATATAGTGTTGCAGCAATATTACATGTTGCTGTGACATTGCTGAAACGTTACATTTACAAACTTCACTTTGGCAATATTGCTGATCCATGCACATTATCTATAGTGAATTGCTCAACGAATTTCATTTACCTACCTACTTTCCTGGGTATTGGCCGCGTCGAACATTGAATTATATCTAATGATCATACAAAAAAAAAACATGATAATAAAAATCCTCTGAGATTGAGAATCGACATTTTCTTTCAAATCGGACAAATAATATGATTTACAATGATATAAAGACATTATAACTTACCAATATATTCAGTATTGAAATGAAAATTGAAGGATAAGTATACTTGTATAAACTCTAACTATGATGAGCTTGAAATTTCCAAAAATCATTCATATCAGTGATAGGGGAATACTATCTCTCACAAACAGGTTTTATGACTATTCGAATGAACTCATTTTGGGTATCAAACCCTACTCAGAAACCTGAAGTCCAATTATTCTTTCAGCCATTCTTCATAAAATGCAGAATTTTCATCTCTCCATGAAAAACTAAAACTATAACGAACTGACTTCTGAGAATTATGATTTGTTGACATTCAATCCCTGTCATCTGGACATTTTGTTTGGATGTATGACAAAGTGATATTCCTCATACGAATTCGTGATTGTGTTTTCTCAATTCAGATTTTTTTCCAGGTTCTGTATGAGGAATATCAATTTGTTATACATCCAAATATCCTTAGCAGTTTCACAAACAAAGTCGTTTGCATTCTCATCAAAAAAACGTTTTCGTTTGCGAATATTAAAAATTCATTTCGAAGTTTATAGATGTCATTCGAAACATTCTTGAGACCCAAATTATTATTTGAGATGTTACTCGTGTTAAATTAATGTCAATTAATAATCAATTAATTTCATTTGAAATCCATATCCACTGTTTGGCAAATATTCGATAAACCAAGAATTTGAAAAAAATTTCAAGATATTTTTATTACACTTCTTTGAAATCAACTTGTTTTCATCTGTATTAGTAAGGAAGATTTTATATAAGGAAGATTTTATTGGGTCTCAACACCAACAAAGCTTGTGGCTCCGACGGAATTCCACCGATTGTTCTCAAGAAATGTGCTCCCGAACTAACATCTGTTCTCTGCAAGTTGTTCAACTACTCTTACAAATTGGGGATATTCCCGTCCAACTGGAAAATTGCAAGAGTACAACCAGTTCCCAAAAAAGGCAAAAAGACCCTACCTAGCAACTACAGAACGATCGCACTGCTATCTATTATTTTAAAGATCATGAAGAAAGCTATCAACATCGAGCTCATGAAATACCTGGAACATTCAGGTATTATCAACGATAGGCAATATGGCCTCCGTCATCAGAGATCAACTGGTGACCTGCTCTCACATATATGGCAGCAATCTATTGAAAAATATGGTGAAACCTTAGCCGTGGCACTTGATATCACCAAAACATTCGATCGAGTCTGGCACCACGGACTCCTCGCCAAGCTTCCATCATATGGCTTGCCTCCCCAGCTATGTTCTCTGCTAGCTAGTTTTCTCTCAAACATTGAATTTTAATAGTGGGCTATGGATTTTTTATATAAAAAAAAATTTCATTTGAAGGAATATTTCAATCGATTTTTCCATGAAGAGGACAATAACAATATCAACACTAATTAACTAACAAAACAAAACAGTTAGATACATGGAAGCAACAAATAAATAGTAATAAAAAGTTCATAACCTGATTAAATATTCACTGGAATACTACTAAAATAATTGAATTTCTAAATTATTCAGTAACTCATTCATTGAATTGTTCAAATTGATTTCCATTTTCCCTAACACATAATTGTCACACTTTCTCAATACGTCTTAATACAGTAAGGGGCACAACAATCTTGAAGAACTTCACAGAATTTTGAATGCATTAAGACGTATTGAGAAAGTGTGTGGGGGAAAATGGATATCGATTTGAACAATTCAATGAATAAGTTACTGAATAATTGGTAAATATTTAATCAGGTGCTTATTTTAAATTATGAACTTTTTATTACTGTTTATTTGTTGCTGTCTGGTAACTATGTTTTCTATTTTGTTAGTTAATTAGTGTTGGAATAGTTTTTGTCCTCTTCATGAAAAAATCAAAGGAAATATTCCGTCAATTGGAACTTTTTTTATATGAAAAGTGCATCCAATCCCCAATGCAAAATTCAATATTTCAGTGATTTTGGGGCATTTTTGAAATTTATATTTATACATTATATATTATTTTGAAGGGGAAAAAATAAGGAATTTGATGAATTGATAAAATATTCACGAGAGATACGATTCAAACTTATGCTTTTTCATGTATCTCCAAAACCATGTCCCGAAAAAAATATTGAGTGCGCCACTGATGGATTCTGCGTAAAATTCTCTATGGGCTGAGATTTCAATTTGAGATTTTCGCTGAGAAACTTCCTAGAGATAGAGGGGTTCCAAAAAGTATGGATTTTCAAAATCCACCTGTATCTCAAAAACGGAAACAGTTATGCAAAATCTGATACGTCCATCTTGAGTTTCACAAAAAAGTGGCACAGGAGTCACAGGACCGCGAAAACCGCAAGGTTCTATCTCCTAAGATAACTGAGATATCATGCAAAAGCATCGAAAACTGGACACACTACAGAATTCAACTCTACTACTCTACTCGTCCCTCTACCAATGAAACACTCTGTATTTCTCTACTTCATCAGAACTATACTTACCATACTCCACGGCGGTTCGCCACTCGTAACTACTTATAAATTCACCTTTTTTTTTTTCAGAGATCCAGGAACTTCAACAGCAGCTGATTCTGAAATTGAGATAAAAGACCTGCCAAAATGCAAGAAATGTCAACATTTAGTTAGGCCATATATTGTTTGGTTTGGAGAAAACCTGGATGCAGATGTAATGAGAAGATCAAGTAAGTTGGGCAGCGACTTCAACAATTATTATTGATATGTGAAAACTTCACAAACGATAAGATTTCCACAAAATGTTTAATCACATGACATATTTTGCTAACCCTTCATTTGAAATTGAAAGGGTTGATAGCAAATACATATTATTAACTACTAAGAAATCAAATTCAACAATGGTGAACAATTGAGGTCTAGTTGATCGTTAAGTAAAATATTAGAATTTTTGAGTTCGTTGATTTCTCATGATTCAAAATTGAGTTTTATTCCTTTATTTTCTACGTGTAGAATCTCAAAAATATCATCAAAACTATGGTTTTCTTCTAATATATGGTTGGCGAATGTTGAATTTGTTTTCTTTTTCAAAAAATTCATCTTATGTTCATGAATGCGCTGACTAAACGCATATGCGCTTGCGCTTGCCTGCCCATCCTGTCCGGGTCTGGTAACTTGGCCCAACAAAATCAAATCAGAGATATTTGTAGTCTAAGAGGAATCTCCCGTAGGCCCCATGAGTTTAATTCTCGTAGGTCTCGTAGTTGAAATAATCATCAATTCCACCAACCTTGCTATCTACTCAATGGGCTTATATCACAAAAAAAAATTATTTCATCATTCGATAGAACTCACCCAAACTAGCTCACCACCTCAAACCGTTTCTTGCTGTGAGCTCCCTACGTTTTATAAAAAATTATTGAAATCCCCGATTTTTCGGACCTCTGAAAACGAGGCGATGATGTGTGACGTCAAAACCCTAATACTGAAACAAGATTATTCCAGGCAGAGATGAATGATACATGATTTCTGACAGAGTGAATTAGCGCGAGATCACAGTTGAAAGAATTAATATATCAGTTGCCTCAGTCTCCGTCGGGCGTTTGGTATTTTCTTTTAACTATGGCGAGATGAGGTTTCTACGTCATAAGAGGGTCCGTTTTCAGAAGGTACTATTATTTATGTCCAAAAATAAAACATTCCAGTTAATTTTTCGATCGAATTATGTCGTCAATCATTATTTATGTATAAAAGGATCATTATAAACATGGTTTGAGTTAAAAGTTCTATACTAAGGTGTACACGCCCATTACCGAATCGAGAATTTTCTTCGTTGCAGAGGACCTCATTGAAAGTTGCGACTTATGCTTGATCATCGGCACATCATCGGTAGTATATCCTGCCGCCATGTTCGCTCCTCGTGTCGCCGAAAGAGGGAAGCCTGTTGCTGAGTTCAACATGAACGAAGAACCTGCAGATGGGGAGTTCGCTTTCCATTTTCCCGGCCAGTGCGGAACTACTCTTCCCAAGGCGCTTGGAATCGCGTCAGAATGACAGTCATGGCCTCAGAGTAACCATATCTTTTCAACTTCAGATTGAGATTTATCATTTTGAAAATGAGAATAATCATCGTCAAATTAAATTGTTCAATACTCTGAATAATATTCAAGAATAAAAATATTTAACCATTATATAGTATTAGCGAATCAAAAAGTGTCGACGCCGCACCTGGTGGTGAAATTGTAAACCTACCTAATGCGTAATCGGTGATGGATGCATCGTATGATTTAAGTAGTAATCGTCTTTGTTTTGGGTGTGTATTCCATATCATTAACTCACTGAGCTCAAAAACGAATGGACCACACCGATTCACTGTACAAAAAAGGTACCTACATTACCTTATCGGTAGTTGAGTAGTTAATAGGAATACAATCATGATCTTGGTTGTTCTATCGATTTTTTTCATATTTATTTGCGATTATAAATATAAGAAAATCGATGAAACGACCAAGATCATATTGAAATGAAATATTCTCAGATATAATAATGAACATACAAAATGGATATATATACAGGGTGTCCGCTAAAAGGAGGTCAATCCATTAACCATATATTCCTTGAACAAAAACAATATGAGTTTCTGAATACCATTTTTCATTTTTGCCCTTCATATTCGATATACAGGGTGTCAAAGTTGGAAATCAAAAACTGTTTTTTTCTAATAACTCGCGTATTTCATGAGGTATTAATCTCAAAATTTGTGCATTACTCCAGCACAAAGAGTTACATCGTGTGAGGAGAACAAAACAGAAAATAACTGTCAAATATTCGAAATACTAGGGGTCAAGTACACACTTACCCCCATATTTTTTGTTACGTGCGCTAATGACTTCCTATCTATTTCTCTTCAAGTGTTCAATCATTTTTGAGTATTTTTTGTTTCTTGTAGAATTTAGATAAAATTATTTGTTTTCAAGATAACTCGATTATTACTGGTTATTGTTTGATGCCTATGCGACTTACGCGGTAATCTCATAATGTTCACATACTCCTATTAATTTCGTCGAAATTGGAAGAGGGCGTAACTTTTTATGTACGAAAAGGTAAATGTGGAAATACCGGGTGCTCAGAGCGAATGTATAAAAATAATTTTCACAAAAAAAAAATGTGAGGACACATGTGGAATAAATTTTGTTTGCCAATCGAACGGCGTGAATTTTTTTAACGCGGTCAAATAAAGAAAAACGTTTTTTGAAATTTCGGGTAAATAAGAATTTTAGGAGGAGGGGGGGGGGGTTGATTGACGAGCCCACCCTTTCAAAGAATTATTAAATTGATTTTCTTCGAGAACAGCAAATTTTTTTAAATTCTTTTAAAATTTTTTAAAAATACTTGACTTTATCTTTGGACTTTCTCTTCCTCCGGCAAATTTCAGGACCCTACCTCAATAATTACGTGAGATACGGGGGTGCTTCCATAAAAAATGCGACAAAATTTCATTTTTCCGAACTGAAAATTTTCCAGGAGAATTTTGAATAGTTAGTAAATTGGGCGTCCTGATTCCAAATCTGAAGTGATTTTCGACCTATTTTGACTCCTAATATAATTTTCCGGAAATTGGGGTAGTTTCATGGAGCTGTTGGCGAGCAGTGTATATCACTGAAGATGACCCCACTTGGTCATAGAGTGCATTTTTGGTATATCCCTCGCTTCACCAAATTTCAGGATCCTTACCCAACGATTACGTAAGATACAGGGGTGGTTCCATTAGAAGTGGGTCACACTGTATATATAAAGAAATGCATTGAGAAATCGCATTCTCTATGTGATGAAAATATCAATTCTTTCTCGGTTTATTCAACATAATTTAAGTGACCAAATGACGTCAAAAAATGACTTCTTGAAGACTTCGAGAAGACGTCAAAATGTCAGCCCTAAGACGTCATATTTAGTCGTCAAGATGACTTATTAGAAATGACCTATGAAGGACTATACATTAAAAAATATATACCCTATTTCTCTGTGATCATTCCCGCTTGATTAAAAGTTTGATCAATTGAATAAATCAGCTCTTCAAAGAGAATTTAAACATGCAATAAATAATATCCGTCAAACAATCAATCAAAAGTATACTTTATTGTCGAAGATAAAATATCCTATCGACAAAGCCTGGGGAGAACAGTTAATATATAAAAATATATAATATATAAAAACATATTCATAAAAAATACAAAAACATGTACAACATAGATACATACAAGAGACAAAAAAAAAATTAAATATATATATATACATATTACATACTTTGTTTCCAAAGGGGTCAATATGTAAAACCAATAAATACATATAAACCTACCAATGAAATCAATATAATATAAGTGATTGATTATGAAATATCACAACGTCAAAATAATTGTTTGAAAATATTACAACTAGTATAACATGACACAGTTTTTGTGGTTACATTAAACAATAAAACAAAAGTTTCAAGATGGAATACATAATTTGTTATTTTTAATAACTTGTTAATTAATTTGCAGAATCCTCCCAATCTATGACGAACTAATCTTCAGCACTCAAGAGTTTGCTTCACAGATTTTCTAAAATGATCAGGCGAGGAAATATTTTGAGATTAACCGGAATTATTAGAGTCGTTAATAGGATAGTCAGTTTTAAGTTGTTATTCTGGCGGGTAGGGCCGACAACGATCTCGTATGCAGATTTATTTTTGTGCACTATACATACTGTTTCTAGGATCAGTATAATGTTATGGGACGCCGTGGCCGAGTTTGTCTATGCGCTGAAATTCGCTAGATAGCCATTCACGATGCGAAGGTACTGTCGGTTCGAATCCGGCTTTCGGCTGAGAATTATTCTTTGAAATGTGTGATTCATGGTCGTTATCCTGGCAGCACCTCGATGCCCTAGAAGTGGTTCGAATTCCACTATAAGCTGTAGGTCCCGCTCTTCCTAACCCCGCACAAGTTTTGACTTCTGGGGAATTGGTTCCCAACTTTGAAGTAGCGATATACAAAAAAAAAGTTATGATGTAAGGGTAAGGATTTTCTTCTGTTTAAATAATGGTTTACATGATGCTCTAGGTCCAACTTTACAAAGGTATCGAATAGCTCGCTTTTGCAGAGTGAGAATTGAGTTGAAGTTATGTTGATTGCAGATCCCCCAGAAAGGTATGCGATATGTTATATGTAACTCGATTAATGCATGGTACACTATTTTTGAAGTAGCATGACCCAATTCGTTAGAGATGAATCGTGGTGCGTAACAGCCTGATGCTAATTTTTTACTGAAGGTTTCAACATGCTTTTGAAAGTTCGAGTTAGTATCTAAGTGGATACCAAGAAATATTGTTGTATCTGTTTGTGAAATACTCATTTCGGCACCTCGAGAGATGTCCGCAAGGTTACATTTGAAGGATAAGAGTTTGGTTGTGTCAATATTGAAAGAGAGTAGATTCGAGTTTTACCACTCTCTCACCCTTGAGATACCTCGGGCTATTTTATCCTGAAGATTTTGTCCGTTTGTATAGTGCCATAGGATGGTTGTATCATCAGCAAAAATATTGAATGTTCCATCAATTTACAGATTAGCTGGGTCATTAAAATACAGTAAGAATAGGATTGGTCCGAGTACAGAGCCCTGGGGTACGCCATGTTTGACTGAGCCAGTGTCTGAGAGCATGTGAGTTTTAACAAGTTGGATTCGATCAGTAAGATCAGACTCAATCCAGCTTAGGCTCTGGTTTTGAAACCATATTTTTGAACTTTGCGCAACAGTATTCCATGATTTACGCAATCAAAAGCTCTTGCTAAGTCACAAAATATGGCTGCACAAACCTCCTTTGAATTTAATTCTGTATAAAGTTTTTTCAGAAACGAGAAGACGGCGTCGCTTATGCTTTCTTATAAATTTCGTTAACCTGGATTTGACGAGTTTTTCAACAATTTTTCCATCTTTAATTTAGGGGAACAGATCGACAGCCTAGTCACATTCCAGCAACTGTTTCTTGTATGGGTGTTTTCTTATTGCACTCTGAAATACGTACGCTTTGCCACGTGGAATTCGAATGACGTTTCGCCAGTGTGTATTATTCTGTGCATTTTCAATATCGCCTTGGCGGTGAATCTTCTGTGGCAAACTTCGCACTCGAATGGTAGATAGCCCGTGTGTGGATACTAATGTGCCTGAGCAAATTTTCTTTCCTGGTGAATTTCTTGTCACAGCTATCGCATCCGTAATATTATTCGCCAGTGTGGACTATAAAATGTGAAGCCAAGATGCTTCTGCTGTTGAATTTCGCGTTGCAAATGCTAATAAGGTACCTTGACCAAATATGGGCATGCTTCCTAATATGGGCACTTTCCAATGTTAGTTATAAATTTTGCGTTATGAGAAGAGATGACGCTGTAATACACAAAAAGAATCCCGCGGCACTCGGCCATCATATTTTAACCGGCCGGCGTACTGCCAGTCAGTCATAAGTCGTCATAGAGAGAACGCTGTTGTGCTGCATAGTATTTTTATTATATTTACAAACTACGCCATAGGTGGTTACTATGTGTTTTTGTGGTAGGAGTTTCGGCATTTAGGTAAGATTCAAGTGCTACTGGTACCTTTTCTTTGTGTTGATTTTGGAATTTGTAGATTATACAGTTTTAATAATATGGGCAGTTGGAACGTTATTTTTATGGGCATGCTCATATTGAGATCAACATGTTTTTTGCAGATAATGGTGCCTCCAAAAAGAGCTCAGTGGTCACAGGATGATTTGAGAAATGCTGTTCACGCTTGTCAAAATGGCATGGCAATAAGACGAGCTTCCATAAACTACAGTATACCCCGTGGAACATTACAGCGTCATGTTTGGAGTAACAATTCAGTGAAAAGACTAGGTCGAAAATCCCTATTGACTATTCAACAAGAAGATCAGCTCTGTAAAAGGATATTTAGACTCGCCGAAATCGGATTGCCCCTCACCTCCAAGATGTTAAGAAGAACAGTGTATTCTTTTTGTGCAGCAAATAATGTGACGCTTCCAGTAACGAAGAACAGCTTCAGCATGATTGGGAGAAAATGGTTGAAGTTATTTTTACGTCGACATCCAGAAGTCGCTAGAAGAAAATCACAAAGCGTCAATCCAGCTCGAGCTGCGAAGTTCATAGTTGACGACTACTTCAATACCCTAAAAAGAACATTGACCGAACTCGATATCATGGATAAACCTCATTTGATTTTTAAGATGGATAAAAAAGGATGTCAACTGAATAATCATAAGCAGCCTGAAGTTTTAACTCGAAAAGGTGTTAAAAGGGTGCCACTTGTCGCACCTGAACATGCCGAAAACGTCACAATTGTGTCTTGTGGTAACGCATTGGGTCAAGCGATTCCACCAGCGATACTTTTTAAAGGCAAACGTCTCAAGCCAGAATATCAAGACAACCTTCCTCCAGGTTGCAAGGTTTTTATGACTCCCAAGGGGAGTATGACTTGTGAGGTCTTCGTGAAGTGGATACATCACTTCGCAGCATTCAAACCTGCAGGTAATGTACTGCTAATTTTTGATGGAGCTAAATCTCATTTGGATGGATCTATTGTGACTGCTGCTGACAATAACAATATAACACTTGTCTCCCTAGCAACTGTACACACGAGTTACAGCTTATGGACAAATCAGTTTTTCGAGCTTTTGAATATCATTGGGAGGACGAATTGCAAAGGTTCTGGGGAGTACATTCTCAGCGTAGGCTCACAAAGTCAAGTTTTGGTCTAGTGTTTTCCAAGGTGTGGCCTAAAACTGTGACTCCTTCCAACGTATCTGCAGGATTTCGTGCAACAGAGATATACCCCTTCAACCCTACGATCATTCCTGAGACTGCATATGCTCCATCTGTATTATCCCAGAGGAAACATCCACCTTCACAAGAGACACTTGAGGGTAATCCCCCCGAAGCAGGGTCTACTCCTAAGCAAGATTTGGTAAAAGACAAAAAAAGGAAACGCAAGGATTGAGACAGCGAACGCAGTGACAAAACTTCAGAAAATACATGGAGATCTTCTGGTTCATCAGGAGATGTCGAGGAAGATGTTCTATCCAACACATCCGAAAATTCTTCCGATCGGAATAATAATGTCACTTGTAACAAGTCTTTTGATGATAAACTGCCAACACAAGATCTGGATCTTATTAAACGAAATAAAGCTCCACCCAGAAAGGCTATAAATTATAAGGCTGTCCAGTTAAATGTAGAATGTTTTCTAATTCTCCCATCACAAAACAAAAGAAATCCAATGCTCCGAAAAAAAAAGTCGAAACAAAGAAACAACTTTTAGAGAAAAAAGGATCTACCAAAACATCTAGTAATCACAGTCAGCCATCAACGAGCGGAATAATATCAAAGAAAAAAGAATCTTGGTATTGTTTCCTCTGTAAGGAAGGACGGCAACTCGATATGAGGCAGTGCACTACGTGTCACCAGTGGGTACATGAAGAGTGTTGCGGATTAACAGCTCCCGATGTTTTACCTTCATTTCAGTGTCCTAATTGCGATGACGATTCTTAATATTCTCGTTCTGCCATATGTGAACGTTTTCTTCCTGAATAAAGTATAAAAACGAAAATTCGTTCTATTTTTCTTGCATAATATAGTCCCAAGAAAAGAAAAGGGTTAGTCATATTTTCCTTGATGCTGAATCTTTTGTGGCAGATTATATTTTCTAGGTAAATTCGATTTCCTCTTCCACTATTTTATCTTTCATTTCGTTATCGATGAAAATTTTGAAGCGAAATTAGATGGTCGGATAGTGATCGATGAAATCTTCAGAATGAAGTATAGCAACACCCCTTATCTCTACTCAAAATCCGGGGGTTGTGCTTCCCCTCGGTAGGGGGTTGAAGTCACGGGGATGAAAAAAGCAGACAAGTCGTTCCGTCTCGAATCAGAAATCGACAGGTCCGAGCATTTTTCCGGATTTTCATTTTGAAGCCTTGAAATTTAAAGTTTTCGTTGGACCACATTAGTAGTGAAAATGGTGTTTAAAACTCAACAGAAATAAACATATCTGATAGCTACTATGTGAGACTCCATTTGGCTCGATACCCAGGCTGTGTTCAGTAGTCCAACCATATTCGCACAATATAGAATTATAATTGGATAACAAGATTCATAATCCAGATGATGAATCCGAGATAAAGCGTAGATAAGAGTATCGCATAATGTTAAGAATTTAGAGGCCTGTTCGCTTGTATTGCTGAACTTGCTCAAGTTGATTTTTTCTTGATAGTTGTCTTTGTTCATGGCATGATGTAAACAGAGAAATTCATAGAAAAAAAAACGAACAGACCTTACGTCCATCTTTTATTAGGGGAACACGACAGCCTAGTCATATTCCAGCAACGTGTTTCTTGAATTGGTGTTTCCTCATTGCACTCTGAAATACGTACGCTTTGCCACTAACGTGGCATTCGTATGGCGTTTCGCCAGTGTGTATTATTCTGTGTATTTTCAATAGCGACTTGGCGGTGAATCTTCTGTAGCAAACTTCGCACTTGAATGGTAGATAGCCCGTATGGGCAGTAATGTGCCTGAGCAAACTTTCTTTCCTGGTGAATTTCTTGTCACAGCTATCGCATCCGTACAATTTTTCGCTAGTGTAGACTATAAGATGTGAAGCCAAAATGCTCCTGCTGTTGAATTTCGTTTCGCAAATGCTAATATGTCGAGTCATATTTTCCTTTCCTATTCTCGAGGTAAATTCGACATTGCCTTTTCCACCATTTTATCTCCCATTTCGTTATCGACGAAAATTTTGACGCGAAATTAGAGGGTCGGATAGTAATCGATGAAATATTCAGAATGAGGTATAGCAACACCCCTCATCTCTATTCAAAATCCGGGGGTTTTGCTTTCCCTTGGTAGGGGGCTGAAGTCAGGGGGATGGAAAAAGCATACAGGTCGTTTCCTCTCGAATCAGAAATCGACAGGTTCCAGCCATTTTGTGGATTTTCATTTTGAAGCCCTAAAATCGGGGTTCAAAGTTTTCCACCTCCCTAGTGGTAAAAATGGTGTTTCAAACTCAACAGAAAGTGACATATCTGATAACTTCTATGTGATACTCCATTTGGCACGATACCCTGGCTGTGTACAGTAGTCTAACCATATTAGTACAATATAGAATTATGATGGGATAACAAGAGTCATAATCCGAATGATGAATCAGAAATAAAGCGTAGATAAGAGTATCGTATAATGCTAAGAATTTAGAGGCCTGTTCGTTTGTATTGCTCAACTTGCTTAAGTTTATTTTTTCCCATAGTTATCTTTGTTCATGGCATGATGTAAACAGAGAGTCATAGAACAAAATGAAGTTCAGCAGGTAGAACAATAAGCACAAACGAACAGACCTTAGGTCCATCTTAACTTAGGGGAACAGATCGACAGCCTACATTCCAGCAACGTGTTTCTTGTATTGGTGTTTTCTCAGTGCACCCTGAAATACGTACGCTTTGCCACAAACGTGGCATTCGAATGGCGTTTCGCCAGTGTGTATTATTCTGTGCGTTTTCAATATCGCCTTGGCGGTGAATCTTCTGTGGCAAACTTCGCACTCGAATGGTAGATAGCCCGTGTGGACAGTAATGTGCCTGAGCAAATTTTCTTTCCTGGTGAATTTCTTGTCACAGCTATCGCATCCGTACAATTTTTCGCTAGTGTGGACTATAAGATGTGAAGCCAAGATGCTCCTGCTGTTGAATTTCGTTTCGCAAATGCTAATATGTCGAGTCATATTTTCCTTTCCTATTCTCGAGGTAAATTCGACATTGCCTCTTCCACCATTTTATCTCTCATTTCGTTATCGACGAAAATTTTGACGCGAAATTAGAGGGTCGGATAGTAATCGATGAAATATTCAGAATGAGGTATAGCAACACCCCTCATCTCTATTCAAAATCCGGGGGTGTGCTTCCCCTTGGTAGGGGGCTGAAGTCAGGGGGATGGAAAAAGCATACAGGTCGTTTCCTCTCGAATCAGAAATCGACAGGTTCCAGCCATTTTGTGGATTTTCATTTTGAAGCCCTAAAATCGGGGTTTATTTTTTCCCATAGTTATCTTTGTTCATGGCATGATGTAAACAGAGAGTCATAAAACGAAATGAAGTTCAGCAGGTAGAACAATAAGCACAAACGAACAGACCTTAGGTCCATCTTAACTTAGGGGAACAGATCGACAGCCTACATTCCAGCAACGTGTTTCTTGTATTGGTGTTTTCTCAGTGCACCCTGAAATACGTACGCTTTGCCACAAACGCGGCATTCGAATGGCGTTTCGCCAGTGTGTATTATTCTGTGCATTTTCAATATCGCCTTGGCGGTGAATCTTCTGTGGCAAACTTCGCACTCGAATGGTAGATAGCCCGTGTGGACAGTAATGTGCCTGAGCAAATTTTCTTTCCTGGTGAATTTCTTGTCACAGCTATCGCATCCATACGATTTTTCGCCAGTGTGGACTGTAAGATGCGAAGCCAAGATGCCCTTGCTGTTGAATGTGGCATGGCAAATGCGGCATTCGAATGGTCTCTCGCCAGTGTGCGTGATAATGTGTCGAGTCATATTGTTCTTAATGGCGAATCTTTTGTGGCAGAGGTGGCACTCAAACGGTTTTTCACCGGTGTGGATGAGGCTGTGTCTGTGTAAATTCGATGAGAGGGAAAATTTCCTATGGCAAATCTGGCACTCGTACGGCGTATCTGCGGGATGCATGCAATTATGTTTCTTCAAACTGGTTTTCAACGTGAATTTCCTGTGGCAGACATCACATCCGAAGGGTTTCTCTTTGGAGTGTACACTGAATAAGTGCATTCTCAGGTATGATTTCGTTGGGAATTTTTTGTGGCAAGTTCCACATGTGAAGGGTCTTTCGCCTTTATGCATTTCTGTAATGTGTCTGGCCAAATGGTGTTTGGTCGTGTACTTTCTATTACAAAGTGCACACTCGATAATTTTGTCAGTGACATGCACAATTTTGTGTTCAGACAAAAGGGCATTGGTCATGAATTTTCTTGAACAAATGTTACATTTGAAGAGTTTGGCGCCGATATGTACAATTTTGTGCCTGAGCAAATTCGCTTTGAGGGAACATTTATAGGGGCATAAATTGCATTCGAACAGTTGCAACCTCTTAATGATTATCTTCAGGTCTTTTTGGCGATGAAACATTGTCTGGCTATAGCATCCAATAGAGTAGGTATTATCGTCTGAAGCTTGAAGCGTGTCACTCGAGTATTTCAATAGTTTTCACCAATATGTTGACAAAAATTCACGCGAAGTAGAGGTAAAATCAATCATGATAGCCAGTTGCAATTGATGATTTTTTTGCAGCGCTGAAGTCTACTGGTACCTGTGAACAAAACAAATTTATCAAAGGCAAAATCAAAGTCATCTCTCATAGATCCAATTGAATGGTTATTGAGAACTAGTTTTGAATGCGAGGATTCCAAAAATTATTATTAATTGAAAATATTATGCAAAAAATTATCTTCTGGTTGTTTTGCAGTAAGAGTCATCTCATCTGAATTGATACCTATCTCTCATTATTATATTTTTCTACAGATATATTATACAAATTTAGGTGGAACATTCATCATTCCAAATTTTTTTAGATTTTACCTCCTCATTTCTATGAATAATATGGGTATTATTTCAATATTTCATCAATATTTCAATATTCGTGTAGTAGGGACAAATCAGATGATTTTCTCCAAAATGTCACTGCATTTAACAAATGAGAGCCCAAGAGAAAAAGAAACAAGGAGAAAAAATACAGATAAATCTGAAGAAATTAATAGTTGCCTACCTATTATAATTGTTTTTGATTTTGCAATTCTAAACTCTTCAGCTAATAATGCTGATGCAGAGTTCGAATTTCAAAGCGCCACTATTTGCGCCAGGCACATTTAGTTGAAATTATCTTGCCATTTTAATTTTGAAAGCGCCACTTTGGCGCAAATGCGCCAGCCTCATAAAGAAACTGCGGGGATTCTTGCTTGACTTTAATGCTCCCATATCAGCCGAAAATTGAAATAGTTGTAGTATTATTATTTTTATTATTATATTATTACTATTTCTTACCGCACTTATAAAATTGCACCTTAGTAGGTATGTATTTAGAAACTCTCAACATATTGTCATACTTTGTTATAAGTTTACATTATAATGTATCTTCCTATTAATGGATGAACCACTAAGGTTCATCTGTTTGGATGATTCAAAAATAAATAAATAAATAAATTGATAAATAAATAGGTAGATATACTCAAAATATAAATATACAGTGAGCGGCAATATTATGGAACAAATTCATTTAAAAGTCAGGCCTGCGTTTCTAGGGAAAACGCTGGGACAGGTCGATTTTTATTTTTTCCTGCGGTTTTTATGGTAGTAGGTTCATTTATACAGGGTGGCTCAAAAATAAGTTACGATGATCAACTTAATTTTTTTAAAAGGAAACACTTGTAGCAGATCAAATACCGCTACCCTGTGTATCCGTAAAGCGTAAAACCGTTTAGAGTTTAGGCTGTTTTCTTTTATTCTTATCATCGCTGCCTGTTCGTGATTTTTATCAAAGTGGTTCGTGCATGACAAAATATTTTACAGTGAACTGCTCAGGTGACGGTACCTGTAGCCGACTTTTCGTGCGTTGGGGTTTAGTTAGCCAGATGGCATCCCCTGGCAGGGCCTACTCTATCTCACCGGGCCGGAGCATCGCTTTCGTGACGTCACACTAGTAGGGACAAAATCAACGCAGTGGAAATTGTCTCTCCCGTTTCATTGATTTATCTCGGGAAAACGGTCACAGTTAGCGAAAAATATCAAGAGGTCCAATATGTACAGAAAAGAATTTTTCAGAAGATGAATCAAATTTCACTGATTTACGATCATTATTTTCAGAAATATGGCATATCAATAGTTATTTGTTTCATTAGTACAAAAAATGACTGTTTTTGGGACGAATAAGAAGGTTGCCGGACGACGCGTAGCGGAGTACGGCAATCTTATGAGTCCCAAAAACGCATTTTTTGTACGAATGAAACACAATATTTTTTTTCCAACCACTTAAGTTTCAAAAATAACAAATTATATGTTCTGAAAATACCTACATGTAGTTATAGTGAATTTTAACGACCAAATTCCCTGTACAAATCTTTATTTCCGAAAATCAGGGCATTTTGTACAATTTTCCTTTCAATTTACATACCTAATATTGTTTAGAACAATAATAATCCATTGTAACAGTAAATACCATTCGAACAATTGGTGGAAAGTATTCAAACAAATCTTCAAAACTGAAAATAGATATTTTGTTGTTTACTCCTAAATATTTTGTTTAGAACAATAATTTATATTCACTGTTACGTTACAATTTGAACAATTGGATAGTTGTATTGGTGGGTACGCAGATTGGTGAACAGCATCTGTGCTAGTACTTGGAGAATACTCCGTATTTATATTATTTTCCTGAACTGAGGAATTTAAAATTTTATTTGCAGTTTCTAGTTTGTTGTTGATGGATTCGTCTATATAGCCCTCAGCAACAGTAGATGAATGCCACCCTCCATGTCTTTTTAGGGCCGTTATATCTGCTCCAGCATTAACTAATAAAGTAGCAGACGTCCGCCTTAGGCAATGGCCAGTGTAAGCTTCAGAATTTTGTAAATTCAAATAAACAGCCACATCCTTTGCAGTAGATGCCAATTTATGAATGCCTACAACCTGTTTATGGCATTTCCCATTGGAGTATTTGATAAAAAATCTTGAATTATTCATATTACCCGGTCGAAGGGCTACATATTTCTTATAGATTTTCAAATAATTATCACCCGTCACTGTGAAGGATCTAGGCCTGTTTGTCTTCGTTATAGGTATCTTTATTAATAAAGCGGATTCCAAGTCTTTAATGTCTTCTATTTTCATTTTTGATAATTCATCACGTCTTAATGCTCCAGCTACTCCAAAAATAAGCGCAACCTATAAATAAATGCAAAATTAATCCATGAAAGAAGTTTTTACTTAAAAAAAATATATAAAAAAAACCGTGCTAACGGGATTTGAACTCGGGATTTCCGCACCAGAAGCTCAGTCTCTGACTACTAGGCTAATGAGGCCTATGTTAATATCTTTCGTGATTGTTATTCATAGCGTACACTTTTCCTCTCGTACATAATTTGAATACATATTTGAATATTCAACATTATTTTAATAGGATCAGTGAAAATTACTCCTTACCTTAGTCATCAGATATCTATGATCTGGTGCTTCAGAGATAAATCTATCAATCTCTTCTTTTGTCAGCGTTTTAGACTTTTTGGGTTGATATCCATTAGATTTACGCTTGAGATAAGGAACTAATTTGGAATAGTTGCCTATATTAATTCCATGATTAATGTTCAGAGTGGCTTTTAGCATTGAGTATTGACTCCACAAGGTGGATGGCTTCATTGTAGCAGATAAATCGGATAAATAAGATATGATAACATCTTCAGATAAAGATGATACCTTATTCGTTCTCTTCCAGTCCATAAACTTTCTGTAACTGTTTTCATATACAGTTTTAGATTTTCTTGGTAGCAGTTCTAAAGTGGCAATATTAGCCTTTTCTCTTATGTTTGGGGGAGTACATGATATATCACTATCGCTGTCACTATCCATCTTCATTTTAATTTTTGGTTCAAAATATGTGGGGTTTTGACAACTTGACGTTCTTTTTGGTACTGTACAAAAAAGAGTTTACTTTTCTGTACAATTGCCATGGAAACTGGGCAAATACCTAAATAGCCTACTTTTGGTATGAAAAATCATGAAATAATAACTTCATATTATAGTGGTTGGAAAAAAAATTAATTGACGCCATTCAGAATTGTCCTTTTTCAAACAGCTACGAAAATTCCAATATTCAATTCACAGGAATGATTCAACCATGAAAAGATTTCGCATGGTATCTAGATTGACTGAGTTTTTTTTCGAAATTCCCAAGGGCCAACAACAAACCGATATTTAAATTCAAGTAGAACGATGATTCAGGTGTTCATTACAGAATATTCATTATTCCAAATTTTTGGGATTTTCTCTCCTCGTTTCTATAAAATAAAAATATGAATATTATTTCAATATACGTGTAGTAAGGACAAATCAGATGATTTGCCCCAAAATGTCACTGCGTTTAAAGAATTTTCCTATCAGAGAGCCTAAAAGAAAAATTCACTAGCTTGTCAGTGACAATTTGTATTGAAAAAATTTTTGGAGAAGGGAAATAAAGGTATATAGAAAAAATATCAAATTTTCACTTATCTTTGGACGTTTCGGGACCGGTTCTGCTCCCGTTTTCAACATAAGAAGAGATTATTTCAATAGCGAAGTCGTATAATGTCTTGAAGCTTTTCAGTTTTCAATGACAATTGGTGACGTTGGCAATCAAATGAGTTACAGGATGTTTTCATTAATTGATCTTGAATTTACCATTCTCATGTTCAGATTTTAGTAGTGAATACCATGTTCTGTCTATATCAACTGAACAAGAAGCAATGTTATTGTCTCCGTTCAGAAGAATGCAAGCAGATTCCTTGATTTTTCTCTTCTGGTTGTTATCTTCTTTTCCAATAATTTTAATATTATTCCACTCTGCCATATGTTGTCCGTCTTCAGTAAGGATATGTTCAGCTAGTTTCGATTTATCGATGTTTCTTTTCTTTATATTGTACTTATGTTCCTTCGTCCTTACTGAAAGAGGTCTCTTGGTTTCACCTGTATAAAACTTTCCACAAACACAAGGTATACGGTATACTGTAAATACAATTTTTTGATGATTGTTCTTCAAAGCCGAAAAATGAACTGGACTGATGTGAAATCTCAACCTACTAGTATGACGTCAGCGTCGAGAGAGAGGGGATAGACTACGGCCCGGTAAGATAGAGTAGGCCCCATGATACTAAAACCAGTATCATGAGTAGGCCCTGCCCCTGGACGATTTGATTTAATATTATTGAATATTTCAGCGCAGTTTTTTCTGTTGGAAAAAACTTGTACTTGGATTGAGAGATTGTGAGTTGCTTTCGATTCCGACCATTTGCGATTAGAAAACGTCTACCACGTTTTTGGCTTTACTTTTTTGAAACATTTTACTCAAGTTGAAAGTGCTGAGGTCTTATTTATAATCTACTGAG